CTCTGTCCCGACTACGATGCTTTTGCAATCCCGGAGGAGCGTGTTGCCCTCGGGTCATTCACTAAAGTGATCCACATGTCAAAAACCCTCCCATAGGTTCCCTAGTGGCACACATCCAGTGCCAAACGCCGCCCCACTACAACACTGCTTCGAGCCAGTTCTCCTTCACTTACGCTTCAGCTCACATTCTTCTATCACGAGTTACCTTATTATCGTTATTATAAAATATAGAACTAATCGATGTGAATCCTTGTGAGGGCTGGAGCAGTGGAGACGAGTATTTCTACAGTAATCATACCTTCAGTTTGGTTCTTGCAACCACCAAAATTATCTCACTCGTTTATCTCGGATGATTTTCAAAACCCCATATGCCCAAACTACTTGGATATATCCCTGTAGAAAGCGAGCTTCACCACCTGAACCCCAACCCGTAGAGTAATCAATGCGATACTGACCTTCTTTTTAACTTCGGAGAAGCAAGCATTTAGCTGCCACTCAATTGAATCTTCCATGTTGGTTTCAAGCAAGGGTACATGGCGCACCATGGGCAAGCTGCTTTCCATTTAACATCCAGGGCAAAAAAGGGTCGAAGTAAATTGTGATGTTCAGAACTAGTAGGGGTGTGAAAAGGCTTCACTTTGATTGGTCTCTGCGGTTTCGAAAGGCGCAGATTTCGCTCTTTCTCGGAAATTTCGCATTCCGATTTCCGTTTTTTCGAATGTCTCACTCAAGCACTCTGATTGTTCTTGATTTCAGGTAAGGAACATATTGGCAATCGTCTATGTGGCAGCAGTTTGCCATCAAAGATCGAGACGATGCAGCCGACCGTCTACGTGCAGTTCGTCACCACCGCACCTGGACGTCACCATCGTGGATTTCGCCTGCGCTACGATATCATCTATGAGGGTTTGTTCAACTGTTAGTTTAGAGTCCCGCCATCATTCGCACCGTCAGGAAGGCTAGACACCAAATATTACTACAGTTTCCTTCTCTGACATCATTTGCGAGACGAAACACTTTGCAGGGCGGCGCGCGGGTGTCCCCCAAGAGGCCCATCGCGCGGCGAAGGAAGAGACGCAGACGCGGCAAAGGACGAGTCGCAGCGCATACTGTAGCGGTTAGGCGTCAGGTTAAATAGAGTGTACCATACTACGTCTCATATCGCACAGCACGCGCTGCGACTCGTCCTTTGCCGCATGCGTCTCTTGCTTCGCCGCGCGGTGGGACCTGTTGGGGGGTACCCTTTGCAGTCTATTCACTGAACTTTTAACATTTGTATTGTGTTAAATTTTCGTAGCAACACCAGGATAGCTACTGTTAAGCAGATGCCAAAGAATGACTTCGAATTCGATATTTATCAAAATCAAAATATAGCTACTGTCAAACTATAAACTATTTTGAGGTGTCATCAAAGGAGCCACCTTCGTATCTTCCCGATGAGGAGAAGGAGTTCCGACGAGAATGTGGCGGTGCGACAAAACCGGGCCAGTTGACCGGTACGTCATATTTTCTCATTTGCATGGGCGAGGGACACTAGGTGGGGGACACTAGGCGCGTCATCTTGATTCTCGAAAGTCACATAAGTTCATAGAAGCAGAGCTACGTTGTTGTGTAGAGTAGTATGAGATTGACCCAGTCCTCTCGCATACAGTCAGAAAAGAATCAAACAATTGTAAAGTACGCTATCTGCCTCAAAGCGAGAGGCAGACTGTATAGTGCCATTATACTGGCCCTCAGTTTCACTATGTGCATAAACCTGGGCGTGATAGGTTAATAATAATATTGTTTACTTTTCTCAAGTGGCCCTCTAAATGCTGAAAAGGGATTCAAAAGCCTAAGCGCCACTTTTTTAGCACAGGTTCTTCAGCGAAAACCTGCTACGAGTTAATTGGTTATCTCTGGTGGTGAATACTGCATGCCATTAGGCTGGCGGCCCGCGGTGACAAGTTGCGAACACAAGCCAGAGTCAGTCGAAAAACCAGAAAACTATTGCCGCGGAAATTAACCTTGAGCCAATCTCTCTGCCCTATTTCGGCATTCAAAGAGCCATTTAGTAAAAAATGTTGATAGTCCCATGTTCCATGCACGTGCCCCTATACAATGCAAAAAACTGTTTAGAAAAGCAGGGTACCACCTGAAGGACCTTCCTTGTAGCAACGACAAGACCTTAAAGGAATCTTCCACGGAAAAAGCTCCGCCTCCATTACCACAGAAAAACGATACCTTAGGCCCCTAGCCTCATGAGCATAGCAAAAAGAACGGAACATAAGCGTTAGTTTCGATAATACTAATCCTACACACAAGACAAAATGATCACTCTTTCCGTGGAAGATTCCTTTAAGGTATCGTTTTCTGTGGTAATGAGGGCGGAGCTTTTTCCGTGGAAGATTCCTTTAAGAAAAGGGGGAGAGATTTGGGTGGTGAGGCAATGGACAGTGTGGCAAAAAGCTTGAATGTGTGAGATCACAGTAGCCATGAACCGCTGTTCACCGAGAAAGCGCAGGCGGTAGAGTCAAATTGCAGCGGTATCAAGGACCAGGGTCAAGTAGACGTGGACGACTGCAGCTATGGCGCAGTCCTTCGAATGATCGATTTCAGGTGAAATCGTTTCGCCTGGATATCCAGTAACATTTCCACGAAACGCCACATGTTATTGGTTGATTCGGGTGGAGCCGCGACAACGTGTGTACATACGGTTGGCACATCTACATCTCTCTGCAACAATTGGTGAGTCCTGGCACGTATTTCGCAACTGAAGTCTCTCTGTTGTGAAACCTATACTCTAGACATTGGCTTTTTGTAATTGACCGCCAAGATTTTTACTTACTCTTTCTTTTTGCTCTTTTGCTACACTGAATGTTCTGTTTATATCAACTCTTTTTTCAGAGAACGTCGGCATTCTCATTTCCCCACGGTACATCCTAATGGATGAGCGATGGCCTGTCTGACTGAGCTACGCTCAACACACAACTCATTCCGATTACGGCGTACACGACAGATCGGATTGGTGGCAATTTGAAGAACGTTTAGATTACCTTCTGCCATTGGGTTCCCTCCCAAACAAACAATAGCTTTGCTTTTTTCCTCGAAGGGTGACCTAGGTGGGTGAGATGAGTGACTGCGGAACTAGCTAAGATACATATTTTGCAACATCTATAAAAAGTAAGATAAAATATAAAAAATATTTAAAAAATGAGATATCAATTATCAAATAAAAGTTGTCAGTCAATATAGAATCGAGAAAGCAAGTTATTTGGTGTTGACCAACCTTTTTGGGGTTGCGCCACACTTTTTACTTCGACTAGGAATCGTAGTGGCATTTGGGTATTATTTGGTCAATACAATGGCATGCATGGGTCAGCCGACGTTCAGTTGTTGAAATTGTCGACCTATACCTGCATTCGCAGAAAGAAATGCTAAACCCCGCCTTTTAATTCTATTTTTCATGATTTTATTTTGATTTTGATTTCACAAGAAGACATGCATGTAACCTACCAGACAGGAAAAGCCCTGCTCATCTGATTTAAAGAAGAATTTCAGGAAAGCTTGGTCCGTCGCGCGGCGAGAAGGCAGGGACGTGGATCAGCGGACGAGTTGCAGCGCGTACTGCAGTAATCTCGCGTCAAGTTAAGTACAGTAAACCACATCACACAGCACGCGCTGCTACTCGTCCGCTGGTCCATCTGCGACTCTGTTTTCTCGCCGCACGACGGGCCTCCTGTCGGGTACCCAAGAAATCTCGAACTCCTCCTTTCCAAAGTTCTTAGTCACGAAGAAACGCGCATTTTGGCAGAGGATAGGACGGCTAGTTTGCCCATGTAGGGTAAGTGCTAATATGCAGTAGAAAGAGAAAATAACGACGTAATGGTAAGCAAACGATTTTTTCATTATCGCTTCGCCATAACCTTTCCATTATATAGAAGGTTACGTGCACTGAATTAAAATTTAGCGGTTATATGTGGAATGAAAAAATAAAATAAGAAGTAAACCAAAAATTACGATCTACGTAGATCTAGTGTCAGAGGGAATTCAATACATTTATCTGGTGAATCATCGTAGAACGAATGTTTCGGCATAAAGACACTTCCGCAGATCGCAAGATATGGGCTGGTGGGAGCGCCGGATTCGGAAATCGGAACACCTTTGCTTAACATTGTGCTGTCGTCTACTATCAAGTCGATAAGAGCACAAAATATGTAATAGAGCGTTCGGCGCTGATCAATCCCTTTTTGATGGTGAGATGCGCCACGTATTTTACTTCCACTCTGAATCGGAGTCTCATTGTGAGTATGTGAGCCTATTTGAATAATTGGGGAGAAAGCGCTTTTTTAACCCCTCAGACAGGGTTGTTGCCATGTAGTCGACTTCAGAGGGAAGGAAGTCTTGGCAATCTTGACGGAGCACGATCCAGAGTTCGATCCCGGGCCCGCGGAAGTGACAAGCAGGTCTTCCACTTGCTGCTATACCCCTTGCGCCAATCGATTAACTCAAAAAAACCTCACCTAGACGATCAACGACGATCACCAGCACATACGCTTCGAGGCACTGTCCACTGTTTCTGAACAAAAATCAATAAGACCGTTATCGATTCGCATAATCGATAGCCACTCAAGGGCGTACCTGTTATTCTCGGCTAGATCAAACGACAGAAATGTGAGGTGTATAACATTGGAGGACACTGTTGATATGTTATAGAGGCACGAAAGATCCGTTCGATACGGTGTCGGAAACGCCGGCGATTCGAGTGTTCTAAGAAACTGAATCGATAATTGATTGGCCACGCGGGAGAGATCAGGAACAGGATGCAGTCAAGAGCCTAGAACACACAATATTCATAGGGTGAAGGATGAAGCTTCGCATGAACCGTAATTACGTAGCTCAGTGGAAAGTATAACTCTATCCCTTGTCAGAGACGCAGAGTATTTCCGCCTCTACTTCT